AGCCTTTAGCATTTCCACCTTTTCAAATATTATCATTTCTATGTGTGGGGAAGCTTCCAAATCTCCAGTTATTTTGAAACATATAGTTAATTGTTACAGTCATACTTTTTGGCTGGAAAATATTGGAACTATTCCAACCTCCCAAGCTGTGCTTTGGTCCCTATATTTCATCTTCTGGCTTTTCTCCCTTCCCCCAACCTTCCTTATCTGCAGAAACCTACTTTGAATTTTCTTCTCACAGAAGTACTTGTGCACAAATGAGTACAAACATATGCTATTTGTCTTTCTGTGCCTGGATTAGGTCACTCCACACGCTGTCTCCCAGTCCCAATCATATTGTCACGAATGACAATATTTTATGCTTCTTGTGGCAAAATATTTCATCACCTTTGTATCTATCCCACATTATTTTCCTCCCATCCATCCACCAAAAGACATCTCCGTTCATTTCATACCTTGACTGTTGTGAACAACACTGCAACAAACGTAAGTGGACAATTATCTCTTTGACATAATGCTCTCGTTTCCTTTGCGTATACACCTAGTATTGGAATAAATCGTTCTTTGTCATGGCTATTGATATTCCCATTTATGCATCATAATAATTATATAACTTCTCCCCGTTAGCTAGTGACTTCCTTTCTTTCAAATTTTTCCTCTGTGGGGAAAAAAATGTTGCAGTAAACATTTTTGAAAATGGTTTTGTATCCTGGGATTTTAATTTCTTGAGTGGGGTTATTGAGTTGAAGGTTGTCTTGGGTTTGACAGATTTCTGAAAGGACTGTAACCATTGACACCTCCTTCAGCATTAGTGAGAATACACCTGTTGAGACAGCTTGGTTAGCAGTGTGAGCCTTCGTCATGATCTTACTAGTATGTGTGGAGTAAGACAATATCTCATCTTTAAATTTGTATTTCCTTGTCTGCTAGTAAATATAGATGCCTCCTAGTACATAATTGCTTTTTGGATTTGCTCACTTGAATATTTAAATTTTTTTCTCTATATTTCAGGTGGTCAACACTTTTGCAATCAATTATTTACAATCAATCAATTTTTTTACCAACTCTTAATTTGTCATCTGTGCTACAAATTTTTAAAATTCTGTCTTGTATCTTTTCTCTCCTTTGCCGAACAAGTAAATATATGGTAGGCAAATATGGCTATTTTTATTACTTTAGAGATGTTTTTGAAGATTTGCTTATATTATTTAAAAGAGTTACACAGAAAGAGAAAAGAAAACTCAAAGAGAGAGAGAAGGAGGGAGAGATATCTCCCATCAGCTGATTCACTCCCCTGCTGCCTGCAATGGCCAGGGTGGTGCCAGGCTAAAGCCAGGAGCTACATTCGGATCACTCACATGAGTAGCAGGGACCTAAACAGTTAGGCAACTCTCCACTGTTTTCCCAGGCCAAAAGCAGGGAGCCGGATCAGAATGGAGCAACCAGAACATGAGCTAGCAGCCATGTGGGATGCTGACACAGCAGGCGGCAGCTTTACCTATAATGCCACAATGCCAACACTGACTTTAGAGATTTTATTAATACACGTGTACCCTTAGCTTGTCCATTAGTTACCCTTGATTTCTTCCAAGAGTTTAATGTGGTTTTTTTGTTGTTGTTTTTTACATTTTTATACACTTACCACTGTGTATTTAAACCAAAATGAATTCAAGCCTCTTAGTATCTCCAGGTACCAGTAACAAAACAGCAAGACACCAAAACCCAAGTTGGGATCCCCACCATTCAGAAACTTCTGCTTCAAAGCAGGGACCAAAAAGGGACCACCTTAGGCAGAAGTTGAAGCCTGCATTGTGGATTAGTTGTTAAACGTTGTTCTCAAATGGGTGTTGATTCAAGTCCAATTCTAATCCAGCTACTTGCTAACATGCCTGGGAAAGCAACAGAAGATGACTCAAGTCCTTGGACCCCTGAACTCACACAGGAGACCTGTAAGAAGCTCCTGGCTCCTGGCTTCAGATGGGCCATCTCCAGCTGGCTGTTATAGCCTTTTCAAGGGATTTCAAGGGGGTAAAACAAATTTGGAAAATCTCTCTCTCTCTTTCACTTTCTCTCCCCTCCCCCTTTCTTTTCAAATAAACACAAGTTGAAGATTATTTGTCTTTAGGAAGTAGAGAAGATGAGGAAAAGTGACAACAACATTTTGGATGTAGGAGGCATACGAAAATGGTGTCACTTAAGTTATAGTGAAGGGGGAAGAGCGCCAACCACTGGCTGCTTTAAGTCTGGGAGTCTGAGATGAAGCATGCCCATGAGGCAATCAGGGAAAGAGCTCCTGAGGAATGGGAAGGGCAAGTGAAAGGGAGGGCGTTCTGAGTCATCAACGTGGCAACACCTGTGGACACAGCCAGGAGCTGGGAGCTGGACCACTCAACCCAGGAGACCAGGGAGAGATCACATACTCCAGCCGCAGATGTTGACTTCACACCTGCCAAGTGTCCACACATCCTTGCGTGCAGGGAACACCGGGAGAAATGCAGAAGCCGTGTGCTCAGTCATCCAGGAAGAGGCGGTCGATCATGTCCGAGGAGGCAGAGGGCAGAGATAATGAGGACAGATACAGGGCTTTTAAGTCAGCCAAGGCAATGCCCCGTTGACCTTCTGGAAGGCATTTTCAATAGAATATAGAAGAAATCAGATTGAATAGGGAGCATTTGCTGAGAAAATAGGAACAAAATCAAGTATTCCTTCACTCCCTAAAAATCTTTGTTTTTCACTCTCAACATTATTTATTCATTATTTATTTATTTATTATTGTTTCCATCTTCAATTTAGTTAATTCATGTCCCAGTTGCAGTGTTCCACTGTTTGAATTCAGACCTCAAATCGTGTTAAAGTCAGTTTAAAATGCCAACTCTGGCCACTCCCAAATTTTTCCAGAGATGATAAAGATAGGCTATAGTGCAGCTTAATATAGCATTTGTGTATATTTCTTGCCATTCAGATCCAAATGTGTCCTATAACTGTACAAGACCAATACATTTTTAAATGGTAAAACTTCACAAGAGCCAATATACATTGTATAATAGCACAGAGAAATCATTTAATAGCATAAAGAAAGAGACATGATAAGCAAGAAGGAGCAAATAAAAATCGTTGTGTATAGCAGTGGCAAGAATCCAGGAGCTGCCTTCATGCTTGTGAGCATTTTGCACAGGATGCAGAAACGGCTCAGACTCCGGGACTTCCACCACCTGCTTTATTTCTGCAGACAAGGTAATAAAGTGACAAGAGGAAAGGGCCCTCCAAGGACTGGCTGTGAAAATGCTTTCCAGTCTTTACTAACAGGATCTCCTTAGCAAGCACCTCATTTTCTCTTGTTTCATCCTAAGATTGATAGAAATGGTGATTGTTGTGATTTTTCTCCAAAAAGTGTAGTTCCATGTATCACATTTCTTGGAAGTACTCCCTCCTGGATGATCTCCTTGGTCGCCCAGGGAATTTTGAAATGTGTGAGCTGCATCATGCATCATATTAGATCAGTAGTGCTATTATGATGAACAGACTCACCTAAGGGCCACTGTTCAGTGCACCTTGGGAAGGCCTGGGTTTGAGTCCTGGCTCCTCTCCCAGTTCCTGCTTCCTGCTCATTCACACCCTAGGAGCCACAGGGGATGGCTTCTGTACTTGAGTCCCTGCCACCCACAGAGGAGATCCCAATTGAGTGTCAGACTCCCACTTGGATCTGACCCAACGCCCCCGGCATTGTGGGCAGCTGGGCAGTAAGCCAGCAAATGAGAGCTTGCCCATTCTCTCTTCCTTTCCTTCACATGAAATAAACATGATCACTGTTGGACTTGGCCTGGAACTGGAAAGTTAAATGTCTGACAGTCTCCTATTCTAGTTCAAATTGACTGACACTGCCACTCAGGATTGCTTCCATATGGTAAGCATTCAGGCCAGGTGTGGTGGCACATGTGTGTAGTCCCAGTTATTCAGGAGGCTGAAGTAGGAGGATCACTTGAGTTCAGGAGTTCTGGGCTATAGTGAGCTATGCCGAGCAGGTGTCCATACAAAGTTCGACATCAGTATGGTGACCTCCCAGAGCTGGGGTGACCACCAAGTTGCCTAAGGAGGAGTGAACCAAGCCAGGTTATAAGCAGAGCAAGTCAGAACTCCTATGCTGATCAGTAAGTATTCCATATTTAATGCAGCTTGCAACACTTGTGCTTTTCTTTGTATGTGCACATGTGGGGTTTAGGGTTCATCCATGCCCCCTTTATTACAATCAGGGAGGATCTATTATTGCCCTAAGGTAAGGTCCACCTAAGAAACATGTCCAGTTTGTTCTACAAGCACCCAGCTCCCACCCTGTCCCTGGTGTATCTGCAGACCACACATTCCTGCATTAATACAGTAGGCAGATGGGTGGTCAAGAACCAAGAAAATAAAAAGAAATACTGAGCGTGTTCAGATGTATTTATAGAAAGAGTAGGGAAAGGTACAAAACATATTTATTCCTGATCAGCACTTTCAAGCCAGGTCTGAAAAATTCTTGTGATTTAAAGTTCTGAATGTTAGTGACGGCATAGGTTACATTTTTAGAAAAGAGTTAACTCTACAAGAAGGCAATGTCTTCATTTGGGCTGCAACATGGGAGGTGGTCTTGAACTTGGAGCCTGTAGTGTTTGCATAGAGGGGGTCCCTGTGTGGGTCTGATAACAGTCTATGAGCTTCATGACCTTTCTTTAAACGTGTTCTCGGCAGCATCCTCTTCTGTCTTCATCCCTCCTCTGACCCACCATGTCTTGCCTCTCAGTGCCCAGGGATGCATTCCTTGCGTTCCCTTAGCTCTCAAGGTCTTAGACCACCAGGCGAGTGGAGGGAAGCAGGTGAGAAACATGTCAAAGGTTGGTTGGGGAATAAAATAATTTCCTCCTTCTCCCAGCTTCAGTCCCAGCTGCATATTAATACTTTCATGTCTTCCCCAAAAGGGAAACCTCATGTGATGAAACACCTGTTTATGATCATCTTTCTTACAGGTATCTCTAAAGGAGGTGAGCCAAGGTTGCTGAGACCTCCAAGACGACCCCGGAAACCCAAAACATTGAATAACCCAGAAGACTCCACCTACTACTACCTACTCCACGTAAGTGACTCATTCCATATATATATATATATATATTTGAAGTTATTTTTTGAAAGGTAGATTTATAAAGAGAATGGTGGGAAGGAGATATAAATCTCCCATCTGATGGTTCACTCCCAAAATAACCACAATGACTGGAACTATGCCAGTTGGGAGCTGGGAACCAGGAATCAGAAGCTTCTTCGGGGTCTCCAGTGTGGGTGTAAGGGATCCAAACACTGCCATCCTCCACTGCTTTCTCAAGTGTACCAACAGGGAGATTGATTAGAAGTGGAGCAGCTGGGACTCAAACCAACACCCACATGGGATGCCACTACACTACAGTGCTGGCCCCTTGAATCACTACTAACTCTCCAGTGAAAGTTACAGCACTCACCAAGGGCCACAGAGACAAGTGTGGCTGCATTTGGTCTCTCACAGAGCAGCCCAGCTTCCGTGTCACTGACTCCAAGCCTCTCTCTGTGTCTCCACTGTATCCTCCCAGGCACCTTCCTTTCTGGCCCACTCCTCTGCTCCAATATGCAACTATCAACTCATCCAAAGAAGTCCATGGTAGCAGGAACCACAGGGACTTATAGGAAAGGATATTCAGACAAGAAGAAAGAAAGTGTAGAAGTAGGCAATCATTAAGACAAGTCTATGTTCTGCCAGGCTTGGAGCTCTTATCCATAGCTCCCAGATTCAGATTCCAAGACCCCAACAGGTACAACTTACCTGTCAGTCTTTAACTGTATCAGGATCCCCAGCCTACTGGCCATTTATGGCATGGAGACTCACTGCATCATTCCTGCTCACCTGCTCTCCACACATGTGTTTTCCCTATTGGGATGGTATGTGATGCCCACTCCAACTCCTAGTAACTGTTAAACAAACAGCAAAAAAAAAAAAAAATGATGCAACTTTTTTTTAATGCATAATGTGGGGATAGTGTTGTGACACAGTGGGATAAACTGCAATGGAGGCATCTCTTAGGGGCATCAGGTCTAGTCCCCGCTGCTCTGTTTCCCATCCAGCTCCCTGATAAGGTACCTGAATTTTGGGGAGGGAGTTGTAGCCCATCATGTTAAGCTACTGCTTGGGACACCTGCATCCCATATCAGAGTGCATGGGACTGAGTTCCCTCTGTACTTCTTTTGGGAACACAGTAAGTGGTGGGTTCCTGCCACCCATGTAGGAAACCCCAGTGAAGTGCCTGGCTCCTGGCTTCAGCCTGACCCAGCCCTGGCTGTTGTAAACCAGCAGCTAGAAGGTAAACACACAGATGGAAGAATTCAATCTCTCTCTTACTCTCTCTCCTCCCCCTTCTTTCATTCTCCTCTTTCTGTCTCTCTCTATCTCTCTCTCTCCCTCTGTCTCTCTTTCTCTTTCCTTTTCTCTCTGTCTTTCCCTTTCTTTTTCTCCAACACTCTCCCTTTCAAATACATAAATTTGGAAAAACCTAAAATTATAAAATTTGAACAAGTGATAGCTTCTGTGATTTTTAAAGTATTATACCACTTACTTGCTTGTAACTTCTAGAAATTCATGTGTGTATCTACTGTGATTACAGTATATAATACAGATTATAATGCAGTATACAATACAGATATTATAATGTCATGTGGATCTTTTGAATTCTCTTCCCTTTAGAAGTCAATCCAAGAAGAGAAACGAAGGCCAAGGAAAGACAGGTAATCCTTGTTTCATATGTCAACAAGCCATCTTATTCAAACAAATGTATAAACCAACATGTTCCTAATCTGATTTAAAATCTTCTGTTTTGTTGGAATGTATTTGGAAAGCCATGAATTCTTGAGGCATTTCGGCTACCCATACTTATCTGTAACTGATAAGTAACAATACAGGCAGGCAGTACAAGTGCCAATACATGTTGAATGAACTGGCCTGTCAGGATGTAGAATGTGCTTTTCTTGGCCTGTTGAGCGAGAGTGACCATAACTGGGCAATGGAAACATACAGACAACCATGAACTTTTTTTCCTCCATTCCTTCTTTCTTTCAATCCTTTAACACAGCTGAAATCTCTCTCTCTTCTCATTGTGATGATTTGGAAGATAAGGTCTGAGTTCCCAGGAGGTACAGCATACTTAAACTTACGTTATTCTCCGTTTCCTATTATATTTTGGCCCATGCATACTTTACTATTTTAATTTCATACCACTATTTTAACCAATATTCATGGCAGCTGCTGCTGCCGTGCTAATAACAAATGATATGTCCCTTGTTAAGCCTGAGTGAGCAAAGAGTTCCCTAGGTATGAATTGGTAACATCACCAAAGTTCATGGAAAAACTGGGATCAGTAGCTTGAAAAACATGTTTCCCAAAAGGAAAACATGAATGTGTAGCACCTTCTCCATTTTGCCTGTTCATCTTTTATAACTGCACAAGCATTCACAGCCTTTCCCACTTCTGAAGTGTGTGTGTGAATGTGTGTTTCTGCTACATTACAGTAGATCTTTGAAGAGAAAAAAAAAAAGCAAGCATCCAGTACATTTGAGTGAGTGATACTGATGATGTGCATGTTTCTGTGTTCATTTACAGCCAGGGGAAACTATTAGATTTGGAAGATTTCTATTATAAGGGATTTTTGCCCAGCTGCTCTGCACCAAAGGAACATAAGCCCAGTTTCAGAGAACGAAGATCACACCAGGAACTCCAGAATCAATATTTTAAAGCTAATGAAAGGTAATGAACTCTATGTAAAGTATAGCATTTTCAACACTATACTCCCAATTTCAAAGTTGATGCAATATAACTTTATTACAAGGCACTTTCACTAAACATTGTATCTTATGAGTGGCAGATTGTGTAAAAGTAAAATCACAAATCATATGATAAAGTCGTCCCAAACATCCCAGTTTTTCCAGAAAAATCCTGTGTCTGTTCCTCTTTTAAAAGTAGCTTAGTTTGAATGATAAATTTATGGTTACTCTAATTGTAATCAATATACCATACCTAAAATCTATGTTCAAGTCCTAAACAATATAATTCTCATCACTTTTTCACTTCTTAAGATGCTTACCATTTTCCAGAAGCAGTGATTATCAAACAACAACAAAAAAGTGTTTAAGGAGCTCATGTCCTGGTTGCTCCATTTCCAATCCAGTTCCCTGCTCATTGCCTGGAAAAATCAACAAAAGATGGTCGTTATCACCCTCTGCCCTGGAAGGCAGCAGGTGACCCAGGTGGAGTTCCCAAATCCTGGCTTTAGTCTGGCCCAGACTTGCGAGAATCTGGGAATTAAGCAGAAATGCAAGATCTACCCCCAAACTCTTTCCAATAAAATAAATTTTTCTCAAATGTCCTTGGCCCACAACCCTTTCAAGGTTACCCATTTTTCTGTTCTTTATTCATGCTTCCCAATCTCTCTCTTTTTGTTAAGATTTTAAAATTTTTATTTGAAAAGCAGAGTTAATGGAGAGAAGAGGAGAGACAGACAAAAATAATTTTCCATCTGCTTGTTCACGCCCCAAATGACCAGAACACCTGAGCTGGGTGAAGTCAAAGCCAGGAGCCAGAAGCTTCTTCTAAGTTTCCCATGTTGGTATAGCAGCCCAAGTACTTGGATCATTTTCTACTGCTTTCCAAGGTGCATTAGCAGGGAGCTGAATCAGAACTGGAGCAGCCAGGACTTGGATTGGCACTCACGAGATGGAGACGGTGTAGGCAAAGGTTTAGCTTGCTATCTGACAATGCTAGCCTATCCCATTCTCTCTTGAACCCCTTTACCCAGGTTTCTATCCCCACAAGCCACTGGAACTTCCCTGCCAGATCACCAGGACCACACCCATGATCTAGTTTCAGTCATTTCCTCTCCCTCTTAGGGGCATAGGTGTTAACCTATGATTTGATTAGTCTTTTTTTTTTTCTTTGAGCACTTGTGCCACTGGCCTCCAAGGGCAGGACTTCTATGCCTCACTGGTTACTTCTTCTCTGTGTCTTTCACTGGCCAATCTCATTTCACTGGTTCTTAGGATTGGAATGGCTCCATTCTTTGCTTTATTCCCATGTTCTATTAAGACCTTTAAAACCATCCATGAACTTGGAATCTGCTCTGAAATTTATGATCCATCCATATTAGTATATCGCAATACTTAACCAACTTGGCCTTATAATATGTTTCTCAAGGTTGGCATAACCAAAACTAAAATCCTAATTCACACACACACACACACACACACACACACACACACACACACACACCTGTTCCTCTGCAGCCTTCCTCATCTTACTGAAGTCAACTCTAGCCAGCCAGCCTTGGGCACACTGTTGATTTTTTTTTTCATGCCCCATATCCAATGTCTATGAACTCTCTCAGTTCTACCTTTCCAAGATCCAGTCAGTTTTCACCATCCCACTGCAAGTCCAGTGCAAGCCACTCTCCATCTTGCTTGGACTGTCCCAGTACCTGCTCATGACCACCTGACTTGCACTGTGGTAACCAGCTTCTTTAAAAAAAAAATGTACTGGAAATATAGATTTTAAAGAGAAGGAGAAACAAAAAGAAAGATTGTCTGTCTGTGGGTTCACTCTCCAAATGCCTGCAACAGCCAGAGATGAGCCCATGCAAAGCCAGGAGTTTCTTCCAGGTCTCTCACGTGGGTGCAGGGTCCCAATGCTTTGGACCATTCTCTGCAACAAGCAAGGAGCCGGATGGGAAGTGGAGCAGCCAAGGCACAAGCCATTGTTCATTAGGAGTGCCAGTGCTTCAAGGCAGAAGATTAACCAATTGAGCCATTGCATCAGCACAGTCAGATCCTTTTATGACACACCCATCCATTCTGTATCCTTCATTCTCAGCACAATTCAAATCCTGGCCATATTGTGAACTCACCAGCTCATCTCCCACTCTCATCTTCTCTCCTGTTGTTCCCCAGTGCTTCCTCCTTCAGAACCACCAAGGTCTCCTCCCTTCTGCACCTTGAATACAATACATGCGCTGTGGTCTCTTACCCTTCCACCAGTTGATCCATTATCCTGGAATGATCAACCTTTCCCCACAAGAATGCTTGGCTTATTTGCTGTTCTTCAGATCTGTCCTAAATGTCCCCATGTCAGAGTGGCCTTACCTGATCATCCTCTATGAAATACTTGTACGTACACACACACGTCAGCCCTTCCCCACCACCCCCACATAGTTTTAGATGGCCTATGATGCTCTGCAACCCTAGACCATCAGCTCCATGAAAGCAAGCACACTCCTTCTCCAATCCCCTGCCCTGGTGCCTGGCACCAAGAATGGACCCAAGGATCGGATGAATACGTGGATCTAAAGCTGCAGAGCAGGGGGCACCCTGTCCCCCACTGCGGGGTTCACAGCACTGGGGTCAGGACACTTAGCCTGGCAGCCTCCTTGAAAAGGTTGAGTTTTGACTAAAGCTAGCAGAGCAGGGCGATCCTGTTTGGCTAATGCAACAGATTCAGAAATCATTGGAGCAGTGTTAAAATACACAACTCCTGGACCTCTGAGGTTCTGCTTGGTTCAGTGTGTTAAAAATGAAGACCCTACCACATAAATTTAATGATTGTATCTCCAGCCATGCGAATGAAGCTTGCCTTCCTCGGCTCCACCTGTCTCTTTGTTCTGCTCTCTAGTGCAAACATAGGCACCCGATTCCATTTTCCAAACATCCACCGGCCAAGAGATGATTTAGGAAAGAAGCCAGGGACCCTCATTCTCCTGTTTTGATGGCACCTGCCGCAGTGGGTGAGGGGTGCGCTTTGCGCTTGGGATGTCACTGACTCCTGTGCCGCTGGTCTCTCTGTAGAGGCTGGACGGCGGAGAACCCGGACCAGGAGGACGGCTCGCCGGCAGCCAGCCCCTTCGACTACAGGAGGCTCCTGCGCAAAACCTCCCAGCGCCAGCGCCTGGTTCAGCAGCTGTAGCCCAGCTGCTGCAAGGTCGCCGCTGCAGCCAGAAGATGCCTGAAGCTTGGGAGGCTAGCGGGAGCCTCAGGCGCGGGTGCCAATGTGCACTTGAAGTCTTGCAGCTCTGCCGCTCTGGCCCCCTCCAGAGTCATTCTTTGAAAGGCAGAGAACTGGGCGGGGGATGGGGGAGGAGCTTTGGGATCGCCAGCTCGCGCATCTCCACGTCCCAACTTCCACTACCACCACCCTGCTGGGGGGACTTCGCTGGGTTCCCTCTGTGTTCTCATATTGGCCACTCCACTCTGTACCCAGCCGTCTCTGAGCCGCCGCCCACTCCCCTCTCCTTTTTGGGTGACTTCTTGTTTTCATGGAAACAGCTTTCTCAGGCCATGGGCCACTCCCTTGGTGGTGGTTGAGGGGGAGGGTGCCGGCAAGGTCTGAAGATGAGCCCAAAGCCGGGTTTGCCTTGCCTGCCGTTATTGAGTTACTAAATAAAGGAAGTGTCTCAGAAAAGTGTGTGATGCGCCTCCCACCCGGTTGGTCCTTCCACTGCTTTGTATCTGCACTGGTGGCTGTACCCAGTGAGCAGGACTGGGAGAGTGGTGGCGGTACATCTCTGTCTTGGGCAGGAACACACACACACACACACACACACACACACACACACACACTGCCCTCAAACAAATACAAGCACGCAAAATTCCACCTGGATGTAGATAATGCATGCGACTTGCTGTGTTCCGAGCCAGCATGGCTTCTGCTTGTCACATCACTAAGCAGAACTGCTGCATCTTGAGTTCCTTTAGTCTGTAGGTTTAAGACACAGTTTTTTTCTGCTCTCATTTAGGTGTATGCAAGACAGGGGTGCTGAGGGTGATGGATGGGTACAGGTTTGTATTGGTTCATCCAATCAACCCAGTTCACCTCTTGCTAAGACTTACTTATTTGAGAAGTAGGGTAAAAAAAATGGTGGTGGAGGAGGCAGATCTTCCCTCTGCTGGTTCATTCCGCAGATGGCTGCAATGACCAGGGCTGGGCCAGGCTGAAGCCAAGAGTTAGGAAGTGCATCTGATCACCCCACTAGCACAGGGCCCTAAGCACTTGGGCCATCTTCTGTTCTTGGGTGCACCAGCAGGGAGCTGGATCAGAAGTGGAGCAGCCAGGACTCCAACTGGTGCCCCTGTGAAATGCTAGTAATGCAGGCAGTGACTTAACCTGCTGTGTTAAAACACTGACCCATATTCATTTCTTCCGTGTAACTGGCACCCTCCTTGTCTACAGCGCCTAGAGAAGATGAGGAGCTGTAACAAGGTACTTCCATTGGCAACTGAGTAGCATGAATGATTCCAGACTGGTGTGGCTTGTCCCTTCCACAGGTGCCCCGGGCTTTGCAGGCAGACGTCCAGTTCTCTGGGGACACCTTGCAGAAGCCAGGTGGGGTACATGCAGCTGACCAGCCCAGCTTGCCCCCCAGAGCATTGTATTTTCTCTAACCCAAAAAGGTTGGCACCAAGAAGTCCCCAGCGAAGGGGACCTTGGGCCATCATTGCGCTTTGCAAAGAAAAAGCCCAGGGGAGGCTGCGGTTGTGTAGCCCAAATGTGCTCTGGGCCCTTGCTCTCTGCTGGCTGTGGCCAGCGAGCTAAGGCCTGGGGGCGGGTGGGGGGGGTACCGGGAGAGAGGAGCCATCTGGGGGCTGCCCAGGTGCAGGGAGCAGATGGGTCTGGCCACGGAGAACTGCAGACAGTGGATGCAGTGAGAACGCAGGAGTTTGGACCCTTATCTTCGCTCCTAACCCGCTCTCCTACCCACTTAGCCCCGAGACCCTCCGGAGACCCTCCAGGAGGAAAAACCAGCCGCACTGCCCCCATCAGTCTTTTAATCCAGACTTCCTGGCACCCCAGCCCCTAAAGTGGCAGGATGCGGGATGATCGCAACTTTTTTTTAAAAAGAGACTAGAAAAGATCTGCAAACGCTAGCTCGTGGACTGCTGTTTTTGTTTCCCATTTTGGCTTTCTCTACGAGCCCTCCTTTCTCTGTCCCGCGACATTCTACGCCCCCCGAAGAGCACGGCGACGAGCTCTCCCATCAGTCACTCTTGGCGGCGCGATCCCCGGGGTGAGCCTGGGACCAGAACTGATAACGACTGGTCATCCCCGGGCCGCTCGCGGCCTCGCTGAAGGAAGCGCGGGCTGCAGCCTCCCTCTCTCGGCTCCCCTCAGTGATTCCCCGCTGCTGCCTCTTTTGTGCGCTAATGACTGCAATTACGACCTCCCAGCCTTCTTTTGTTCTCTTCCCACCCGGAACGAGGAGTGGGCCAATGGGCTCCTTTGCGAAATGAAAGTGTTTTACCAAGCGAATTGCCTTGTAAAAGGGAGGGGAGACAATAAAAAAAATTTTTTAATTAAAAAAAATTGGATAACCCGTCAGCCTCTGAGGCAGGGTGTTCGTATATTTAAAAAAGAAGGAAAGAAAAAAGAAAAAATGTAAATACCACTGTGAGAGTCGTAAGGACTTCGAGCCGTTGTAATGTAATGTATGTACGTCGTTGCCTCCTGTCTTCTCCCTCCCCCACATCAGTTAAATTCAGGTTTGGAGTTTCTGTCTTCCTCGTATTTTCATCTGTTTCTGCCTTACTGTGTGTGGGCCTGGCTTGTTTTTTGTTTGTTTGTGTTTTTTTTTTTTTGTTTAATATTCACCTACCACTCATCCATAGCAAGAAAGTTCTGCAACCCCAAGCCTGCTGGTTGGAAATGTAGCAAATTATTTGCGGTGGAGCTGAACAAAGAACCAGGCTCTCCAGCTCCACTGCCTGCACAGCTCCAGCGGGAGCTGCCGGGCGGCCTCTGCTGACCACCAAGTCTTCGCCTTCCCAGAGTTGCTCCCTCTGACAACCCAAGCTTCGGAGCCCCGAAGGGCAGGAAAGCGCAGCCCACTCGAGGCCTGAGTTCCTGACCAATGCCCGGCCTCAGCTGTCCCAAGCCACCACTTTCGGCTCCATGCTCTCCTGCACTCTCCTCCATGAGACTCCTGCACTTGGACGCTCCCTGCTCTGGTCTCTCCCTGACGGCAGCCTCAGAGCAAACCGAGGATTCCAGCAGGATCCCCTTGGACTCTGGCACACGGGGTAGAAGACAAAGCCTTGTGGAGAGACTTTGCCAGGGGACAGTGCGCTTGGGGACACCAAGAAGATGGCGTGTTTGAGGGCCCCTGCGGGTCTTCAGGATCCCTTCTCCAAAGCAACCAAATGTGGAGTTGTGATTACAGAGAGGGAAACTGATTCAGTGACAGGCTTGGGAGATCGGAGAGAACCGCTTGCGACCCGGATGGAAATGAATCGCGCTCCTTCTCAGGTGCCAACAAGCAGGTCCCTGTCCGGGGAAGTGGAACCAACCATTTGCCTGCCTGGGTTGTTCATTCTTGGTTAACCTGGAGCCTTAAAGTTGCAAACGTTGTTGGATGTTAATCTGGTTGTGGTGGAGAAGGGGGGTAGACTATGGATGCCACTGGAAGAGGGATGCCCCAAATCGTCAGGGCTCATTCCAATTGTTAGCTTTTGTAGGGAACAGAAATAAATCATTGGAGAGGAAAGATTTTTTTCTCCACTTCCCCTCAATGGAAAATAAGGCACTTCTTTTCTCTCCCTCTCCTCCTCCTAGATCTCAGACAGCACCCATCTTTCTGACCCCTAGCACTCCAATCCCCACCCACCACGAAGAGTCTCCTGCGGTTCAGGAGTCTTTGGTTTGAGGCCCCCTAAAATAGGAGTCCAGGGGGCTGCGCCTTCTCTGCACCGACCATGGAAAGCCAAAACTTAGCTTTGAGCTTAACTGGAAACCTGCGCTCCTCTCCCCAACACCCGGTGAACGGAGACGCTCCCCACCTCTCCCTGCCAAGGTCACATTCAACGACCCGCTTCCTGTGCCTTTCTCAGCTTCTGACTCTGCCAGCGTCCCCCGCTTTTTCCTGCTCCCTTTCAGGAAATGTCAGGTCCTTCTGTGATTCTACCCCCCCCCCCCCGCCGGAGGTTCTCCGTGATAGATTTTTAATTTTTAAAATAATAATAAATAATACAAAACAATAATGAAATGGACTGAGGGCCAGGGGACCCAGAGATGGACTGCACAGGAGTGCTGCGCTTCAGGACAGTCGGTGGGGGAGCTCTGCTAAGGAGCCTGACAGGACCCCTCCCGTGTGTGGACACCGTTCCTCTCTTCTTTCTTTCCCCTCCCCAAGCTCCAGGTGCGCATGAGTCTGGCTCCAGGGTCGCCACGACCTCAGCACCCGTTTGGAGGTAGGCGAAGCGGGATCCTCACACTTCCTGGCCCGAAGCAGGAGCTACACACAACACGCTAAGCCTGGGCACACAACACGCCAATCCTATGCACCTATAGAAGAATTTATTAGCCACCCAGGACATCTCGCCTAGGTCTCGCTGCCGAGGCTCTGGCGGAGGCGGCTGCTGGCAGCACCATGGACAGCACACTCGAGCTGGCTGGTGCTTCCGCTACCGCACGCCTCCCACCCACGCCACTGCCCTGACTCAAGCTGGCGCGCACGATCTCACCAGGCAGCACCCTCTTTCTCCCACGTCCCATCCCCACCACCCCCTCACCCATCCCCTCTGGGACTGACTAGCTCTTGGAATCTCTCCGGCAGTGTGCACTTTCCAATCTCCAGGTTGTAAGGACCAGCTGCACTGCCACCCTCCGCCTCCCACCTCGGACCTCGCCTCTCTTTAACCTTCACTGGCTTCCCAACCTGATTCCTAACACACGCGCTCATATGCCCTGGAAGACACGCACGTTTGCTGTCCCTGTGTGACACGCGGCCGCGCCTGGCCCCGCGCGGTGCCCCCTCCTGCCACATACACACACATACGCGCGCACACACAGACGCACGCGCGCGCAGGACCAAGCCGGAGACAGCCTAGCCAGCAGCAGCTCGCAATCGCAGACAACCTACTCCCTGGCTCGCAACACCCGATGGCATCTCCAGGCTCCGGCTTTTGGTCCTTCGG